TTTACAGCAGTGTAGTATTCCATTGCGTAGATACCACAGGTTTTTAATCCACTCGTCTACTGATGGGCACTTAGGTTGTTTTCAAATTGTAGCTATTGTGAATTGTGCTGCTATGAACATAGGAGTGCATATATCTTTCTGATTGGTGTTTCTGGTTTCTTGGAATATATTCCTAGAAGTGGGATTACTGGGTCAAATGGGAGTTCCATTTTTAACTTTTTGAGGAAACTCCATACTGTTTGCCACAGTGGCTGCACCAGTCTGCACCAGCAGTGCACGAGGGTTTCTTTTCAACCCTTGCCATTTGTTGATTTGTTGATGATAGCCATTCTGACAGGTGTGAGATGGTACCGCATTGTCGTTTTGATTTGCATCTCTTAGATGACTAGCGACTTAGAGCATGTTTTTATATGTCCATTGGCCTTCTGTATGTCAACTTTTGCAAGGTGTCTATTTAAGTCCTGTGCCCATTTTTTGATTGGATTGCTTATCTTCTTTTTGTTAAGATGTATGAGTTCCCTATAAATTTTGGAGATTAGGCCCTTGTTCTCCCATGTAGTGGACTTTCTTGTTGTTTTGTTGATGGTTTCTTTTGCTGTGCAAAAGCTTTTTATTTTGATGTAGTCCCATTTGTTTATTTTCTTCTTAGTTTCCATTGCCCTAGGAGCTGTATTGGTAAAGATATTGCTATGACATATGTCTGATATTTTGCTGCCTATGGATTCTCCTAAGATTTTTATGGTTTCTCATCTTACATTTAAGTTCTTTATCCATTTTGAGTTTATTTTTGTGTATGGTGTAAGTTGGTAGTCTAGTTTCATTTTTTTGCATATATCTGTCCAATTTTCCCAACACCATTTATTGAAGAGACTGTCTTGATTCTCTTGCATGCTCTTGCCTCCTTTGTCAAGTATTAATTGAGCATAATGGCTTGGGTCAATTTCTGGGTTCTCTGTCCTGTTCCATTGGTCTATATGTCTGTACTTGTGCCAATACAAGGCAGTTTTGAGAACAGTGGCTTTGTAATAAAGCTTAATGGGGATTGCATTGAATCTATAGATTGCTTTGGGTAGTATGGACATTTTAATGATATTAATTCTACCAATACATGAACATGGTATATTCTTCCATTTGTTTATGTCTTTCTCTATCTCTTTTTTTTAATGCCCTGTAATTTTCTGAGTACAAGTCTTTTACCTTAAGTTTATTCCTAAATAAGAGCTAGAATATCCACAAATATGATTGTATAAAGAAGGTGTGTCAGCTTAATTTTTTCTCCAATTTGATAGTCAATTGACCCACATCATTTGTTAAAAGACCATCATTCTCCTCTACCTTGCAGTGCCACCTTTGCAATAAAGCAAGTGTTTGTGCCTAAGTTCAACTCTAGCCTTTGTTCTGTTCTAATGAAATGTCTGTCAATCCTTGCATCAAACTTATACTCTATTTTGTTCTTATAAGTATTGAGTACTTTGATCACCTTCTTCAATTATTCTTGGTCCACTGCATTTCTGTATGAACATAAGAATCAACTTTTCAATACCCCCAAGATATCTTGCTGGAATTGAACACAGCAGTATCAACCTATATTTTTATTTTTAATTTTATTGATTTTGTACAGAGAGGAAGGGAGAGAGATAGAGAGTTAGAAACATCGATGAGAGAGAGTCATCGACCAGCTGCCTCTTGCACACCCTCTACTGGGGATATGCCCGCAACCAAGGTACATGCCCTTGACCAGAATCGAACCCAGGACCTTTCAGTCCCCAAGCCTACCCTTTGAGCCAAACCGGTCCCGGTGAGTATCAACCTATAGAGCAACTTGGAGAAATTGGTATCTGTACAATAGTGAGTCTCCCCATCCATAAGCATTGTATACCCCTTTATTGGTTTAATCTCTTATAATATCTGTCAACATGTCTTATAGTTTTCTGGTCTAGGTCTTAGACATTTTTTCTTAAGACATAATCCTAGGTATTTGCTGCTTTTTATTCTATTGTAATTGGCACTGACTTTTAATTTGTTTGTTGTTAGAATACAGAAATTCAATTGATTTTTGTATAGTGACATGATATAAAATTACTTAATAATTTTAATAATTTATTTGTATATATTTTTGAATTTTCTATGCACACAGTATATCGTTTTCAAATGAGAGTCTGTGATTTTTTTTTTCTTTCTGACTGATATTTTTATTTTTTTCATTGTCTTATTTCACTGCCTTGGACCTCCATTTTAAAAAAATATATTTTATTGATTTTTTACAGAGAGGAAGGGAGAGAGATAGAGAGCTAGAAACGTTGATGAGAGAGAAACATCGACCAGCTGCCTCCTGCACATACCCTACCGGGGATGTGCCCACAACCAATGTACATGCCCTTGACCGGAATCGAACCTGGGACCCTTCAGTCTGCAGACCGACGCTCTACCACTGAGCCAAACCGGCTTCAGCTGGACCTCCACTATTGATAGATCATCCCTTCCTCCAACTGACGTAAACTCCACCTGCAGCCGGACATTTCTGAGCATTGAACCACCAATCAGCACCTGCCAAATACCCTGTGCCCCTGATTCCTAAGTCCCTAGGTCCCTGATCATATGCTTTACATGAAACCACCAATCAGCATGTGCTGAGTGCCCTAAGCCTGGTCCCCTCTCTTTCCTCCCCTTAAAAGGTGCCTGCACCCCGGCCCTCTCTCTCTTCCTTTGGGAAGGCAGCCAGCAGAAGAGGTACTCTCCTTCAATAAAGCCTGTGTCCTGGCATCCCGGTCTTTCCACCCCTCCCCTTCCCGCCCCTTTCTGTTTCATCTTTCAACTACAACACTGAAGAAAAGTGGTGATAGGAGGCATTCTTGACCTATCTCAATCTAGGAGAAATGCTTTCAACATGTCACCATTGTATATGACACTTATTATAGTGTTTTTTTTTTTTTTTTTTTGGGGGGGGGGAAGATATCCATTGCCATATTAAGAAAGTTCTTCTAGTCCTAATTCAATGGGATATTTGATCATAACTGAATCTTTATTTTTGTCAAATAATTTTTTCTGGATCAATTGAATGATGATATAAGTTTTTTTTCCTTTATTCTGTTAATGTGATAAATTACAATGATTGATTTTCAAATGTTAAACCAACATTACATTTCTAGAATACACTGACATTTATTGTGACATAAAATCTTTTAAAAAATATAGCACCAAATTAGATTTGCTAATATTTTGTTTGAGATTTTGTAGCTAGATTCATGAGAGAGACTGGGCTATACTTTTGTTCTTATAATGTCCTTAGATTTTGGTTTCAATGTTTAGCAGACCTCCTAGAAATTGGAAAAGTGTACCTTATTTTCTCATTGTGGGGCAGTTTGTATATGATTGGTATGATTCTTTGTTAGAACTTACAAAGAATTCTTGGGTCAAGCTATCAAATCCAGGAGTTAACATCCTTAATTGACATGAGTATTCATATTTTCTATTTTTTTTTAATATTTTGTTTTGTCAAGTAATTTTTACCTTTTATCTAAATTGACAAATTTATTGATACAAAGCTGTTCAAAATACCTTCTCATTATCTCATTACCTTTTTAAAGTAAAATTTATAATGATGTCCTTTTAGTAAATTTGAATTTTTTTCTTTTTAAAAATTAGTATTGATAAGGGTTCTTATATTTTAATTCATGTTTCTCAAAGAAGCAAATTTTGGTTTTATTTATTTTCTCTACTGCACTATTGTTTTTTAATTTTAAATCTTATCTTTATAATTTCCTTCCTTCTATATTTATAAAGTTTAGCTTGATGTTTTTTTTAATTTCTTGATATTGATGTTTCTATGATTAATTTCTTCAGCCTTTTTCTTCTGATAAATTCCTTAAGGCAACCAATATCAATCTAATAATTGAGTTAGTTACATCCACAAGTTTTCATGTCAGACTGTCATTACCATTCAGTTTAAAAATATATTCTAATTTCTACCATTACTTTTTCTTTGAACCATGAATTATTTATGAGTATATTATTTAATTTCCAGACATACATATATTTTCTTTTTAAAAAAAAATATATTTTATTGATTTTTTTACAGAGAGGAAGAGAGAGGGATAGAGAGTCAGAAACATCGATGAGAGATAACCATCGATCAGCTGCCTCCTGCACACCCCCTACTGGGGATATGCCCGCAACCAAGGTACATGCCCTTGACCGGAATCGAACCTGGGACCTTTGAGTCCGCATGCCAACGCTCTATCCACTGAGCCAAACCGGTTTCGGCCATACATACATTTTCAAGTTATCTTTCTTTTCCAGTCTTGTCAAGGAATATATTCTGTGTCATTTTGATCTTTTGCATTTTGTTAAGACTGCCCTATGACCCAGCATAGCATGTTTGGGTCTGTTTTCATGTGTGCTCATAAAGATTGGGTATTCTCAAGTAATTTGGTGCAGTATTCTATATATATCAACTACGTCCACTTTTTAAATTCAAATCTTCTCTTTCCTATCTGTTGTCTTTTCTATTTCTAAGTAAAATACAGTAAAATCTTTGACTATGATGGTAGACTTGTTAATTTCTTCTTTTAGATGTCAGTTCTACATAGTTTGAATATTACATAGTAAAATCTGTAAAATTTCAATGGTTGAAATCTTATTCAAATTTGTTTTTATTTTATTTTTTCAATGGGGGCAACCAACAATTCTGAAACTCAGCCTGAGATCCTATCTGATACATAGTCTCAGGTGCCAGCCCTAGACTGCCCACTTCACCACCTCTCATCTTCACTGTTTGCCCTGGGCACAAGGTTTCCTGGCGGAAATAGCAGAGGCCCTGATGGCTTTTGAGAGCCGGGACTCATCAGCCCTGACCCACGCTCTTCCAGGGCTGAAGTGGCCACAGCACCCCTGCCCTGATACCCTTCCCTGGCCTGGGCCAAGGCTTCCAGGACTCCTGTAGGGCCAGTGGCTCATACTCAGCCCCCTTCCTTTCTGAACTCTTGTAGGAGCAAGCTCACCTTGCATGCCTGAAGGCCCAAAGTCTTGCCGTGTGAGGAAGATAGCGTGATCATGGTATTCATCGTGGTCTGTGTCCGGCTTCTGCTGGAGGTAAGCCCACCGGCAGACATTCTCCAGGCTTTGAGAAGGGTTCCCGATCTCAATAAGGCTCATGGACTGCAGGGAAGGAGAGACAGAAGAGGGGTTAGTGTCTTGTGGACTAGTTGGGGGTCTGAGCAATGGTGAAATTGGTGTTGACAGACCCTATCCATTGGTGGCCTGGTCCAGTCTTCTCAGGACTTGCTTCCACTTGGTTCCATCTTGGCTCCCCAGCAAGTTTCCACACAAAGTTACTGTGCAGTTTGCAGGTGAGATGTGTTTTCAGGGCCTCAAATAGGTCCATTCAGCCCACCCCATTTACAGAGCTCCCTGCATTCGACCAGGCCTTGGACTGGAGGCAAATGCCATTTGGACTGCACCCTGAAGAACTCACAAGTTGGGAAGCGTTCAGGGTTGGAATGGGGAGGGGAATGGAGCAGGGAGAGGAATTCCAATGTGGTGTACCAGTCCAGAGAAGGGGAGAGAATCTGAGTTTGCAGATTTACAGAAAATGACACAATAGAGGGGAAATCTACAGCAGATTACAGCAAAGGGGCCCCATAAAGAACAGGGGCACAGAGCCTATTCCCTTAGGAGCCACGGAGAAGAGCATCACATGCCCTTTATGTGGTGCCCATGGCTAAGCCACGCTCTGCACAGTGGCATTGCCATTCAGACTTCACAGTCAGCCTGAGAAGAGGAAACTGAGGCTGGGAGAGGTCAAGTAACTTCCCTCAGGTCACACAGCTAGAAAGCAGAGTTGAGATCCCAACCCAGGAAGCCTAGACTGCTTCCCTGGGAAACAGGCAGCATGGCCTCTCAGAAGGGCGGCTACTCCAGGCAGCATGCTGCCCGTTCTCAGTCTCACGGCATTTCCGCTTCTGCTTTCACCACACACTCGCGTCACCACAGTGCCTCTCGCCAAGATAAGAGTCCTGGGCATGATTTTTCATCTTCTTTTAAAAAAAGAATTTGTTTATTGATTTGAGAGAGAGAGAGAGAGAGAGAAAGAGAGAGAGAGAGAGAGAAGAAGAGTGAGAAACATTGGTTTGTTGTTTCACTTATTTATGCATTCATTGGTTGCTTCTTATATGTGTGCTGGCCATATAGCAAACCCTTGGCGTCCTGAGACAAAGCTCTAACCAACTGAACCATTTGATCAGGGCTGCTTCATCCCTCTTTATTTTATTTTATTTTAAAAAATACATTTTATTGATTTTTTTTTTTTTTTTTTTTTTTTTTTTTTTTTTTACAGAGAGGAAAGGAGAGGGATAGAGAGCTAGAAACATCAATGAGAGAGAAACATCAATCAGCTGCCTCCTGCACACTCCCCACTGGGGATGTGCCCGCAACCAAGGTACATGCCCTTAACCAGAATTGAACTTGGGACCCTTGAGCCCACAGGCTGATACTATCCACTGAGCCAAACTGGTTGGGGCTCATCCCTCTTTAAATACATATGCCTGTAAAGTTTCTTTTCTCTCATGAATATGTCCATCAAGCATAGCCACACATCTCTCCTTGTGTGGGAGAGGTATAGGTTGTTGCGGGTAAGCCAGGATGTTTCACAGAAGAAAGAATAATCCCAGGCCAGGGAAGGGCTGGTCATTGCCAGGAGTCTCATGTGTCATCTAAGTCAGTGACTTACAAGATGGCAGAACAGCTCCCAGCTCCCTTGCACAGAGCCAAATGCCAAATGCGCCAGGAGATGAGACTGTTGTAAAAAGCTATACTGGGTCCTAGTGAAGTAAGTCACAGACCGGAGTGGGGCCTATGCGGAGGCATGGGGGGAGAACCGAAAACTCGCAGGGTAGGTGTGGGCTCTGCAGTGCCAAGGGGCACAGTCATGGGGTGGTCTTTTTGGGCCCAGCTTGCTCGCTCAGGAGGAGCTTGGAAGTGTTTTGTGGAGTCCTCCCACTTCTCAGGAAGCAGCTCAGGGGTGATCAGTCCAGGTGCTCTGCCCACCCCTCCTCAGAGCCTCCTGAGACTCAAGTTAGGTCAGTGGAGCAGAGGTTCCAAAGGCTCAAGCTGCTTTGCCTCGCTGGTGGCAGCCCCAAGACAAAACCCAGGAGCTCCTGCCGCCTGCAGCCCAGGCCCTCCCTCTCTTTGACCTACTTGTCCCACCTCCTGATCTTCTCACACGCCAAAGGCTCCTCACAGAGGTATCGAGAGTCAGGGGGCAGCGGGCAGGCCTGGGGCCCAGGAGGGAGGTCTAAACTACTTGGGTCACTTGGGCTGTGGTGCCCCCACCTGACCTTCTATTCTTCTGTGACCTGCTGGCACCCATGCAACCCTCAGATGGGCACCCTCTCTGGGCTACCCAGGTCCTGCCATTCCATGTCCTTGCCAGGTATCACAGCATCTGAGTAGTGGCTCTTCTCTGAGCCAGGATAGGAGACTCATCTATTTCTCCTTCAGAAATGACAGGGAGAGGCGAGGGGTCTGCTTGTGGCGGCTGCACTTCTTGCTGCCCAAAGGCCTATCTTCTGGCCGCCTGTTCCTCTCAATCCTACATGGGCTCTAGGAAAGCTTCTCTGTGAGACTGAGCCCATTCCCATTTGTGTTGGGCTGGGGACCAGGTGTGAGCTCAGCAAGGGGGTGGCCAAGGGATCATTATGGAACTCACAGACCACCAGCCCTTCCCCAGCGGGAGCCAAGGCACAGCTGTCCAGTGGATGGGATATCTGCATCCTGGGCTGGGTGGCGCTGAGAGGTCCTGTACAAGGCCCCTATGAGCTGATTCCCGGGCTCCAAGTTTCCATGCATCATCTATTTAAACCATACAACTGCCCTAATATATAGGCGCTGCCGTGTTCCTGTCTTCAGGATGAGGAACCACGTCTGAGACAATTGAAGTAACTAACCCCAGTCCAACCACTAGAAAGGGGTAGAGGTGGGCACGGGAGAGGCAGAGCAGCCCTGAGGCGGTCACAAGGTGGCGCTGCTGCCTAAGATTGCAAGCCAGCTGGGCTGGCAGCGGAGGCCCGGGCTTGGGCTGCAGCTCTAAGCCTGGTTAGCACCCAGCAGTGGGGACTTCAGAAGCTGGAGACAGTCTCTGGGGTCCCACACTGGAAGTCAATGAAGACCCGCCCTAAATTCTCTCTGACATTTCCATTGTTTGCTCCAGACTGAGCTGAGTTATTTCAGCTCTTCCCTCCTTCAGTCCAGGAGATGGAGACAAACCTGCAGTCTCCGCCCCCACCTGCTCCAGGCCAGGGACAGCTCTGCCTAGGGGTCCTAAGCCCGTTCAGCGTCCACCAGGGCACCCGCAGGTGACAAGTAGGGCTCATCTGGGTAGCATGAGAGCACTGGGATGTGACTTGCTCATCTCTTATCTGCTTCATGTTCTTAGACAAGTTACTTCACTGTCCTGAGCTTCCCGTCTGAAAAATGGATACAACCGTGCAGAAGCAGGAGTATAGTGGCTTCTGACCATAACCGTCAATGCCTACAAATGTTCCTTGTCCTGTCACTGTCATGACAATGATGATAAAGATGGAGGTGTGACTTTAGTCCCTGGGGGATCCAGTGTACCCAAAGGGGTCGCCCGAAGCTTTGGGGGCTCATGCCCTAGAGGGTTGGCTTCAGTCTGCCAAAGCTTTTTAATTGCCCTGGCCCTACTCTCCAAAATACACAGGAAATGAGACAGCTTGCCCAGAGCCCAGGCCTGCTAAGGGGCACAGCTCACCGAGTTCAGGAAAGCAGAGCACACTACCCCACCTCTTCCCTGCTGGCAGCTGGGCTAGGATCTCTCTGCTGGGGGGATTATCCTTTGCACTCTAGGGTGTAAAATAGCATTCCAGCCTCTACCTATCTGATGCCATTAGCATTCCCCTTGGGGGGTAGCAAAATTGCCCTCTGTGGAGAGCACTAGCATGCAGGAACTCTTTAAAAAAAAAAAAAATATATATATATATATATATATATATATATATATATATATATATATTATTGATTTTTTTACAGAGAGGAAGGGAAAGGGTTAGAGGGCTAGAAACATCGATGAGAAAGAAACATCCACCAGCTGCCTCCTGGACACCCCCTACCGGGGATGTGCCCGCAACCAAGGTACATGCCCTTGACCGGAATCGAACCTGGGACCCTTCAGTATGCAGACTGATGCTCTATCCTCTGAGCCAAACCGGTTTCGGCTTCATGCAGGAACTCTTGAGGGGAACAAGGCACAAGCAGCCTGGAGCTCACTCTCCCCAGCCTTTGGAGTAACTGTGTCTGATCCCTCCTTCCCAGAGCCAAGTGGCTTGCTAGTGGGTGACTCTGGCAGGTCCTTGTGCCTCTTGGTGCCAGAGTCTACTGTCAGGTGGGCCGGATGATGTCCCATAGAGCTGCTGTGTTGGGAAATGAAGTCACCTAAGGGGTGACAGACAGGGCCTTCCCCCAAGGGGGCACTGCAGACAGCAACTCACATGAGCCTCCTCCTCGCTGCTGTAGTTGCTAGTATGTGCTCGTCTTCCTGGGGACACTAAGGCTCAGTGGTGGTAGATAACCTGCTGAAGGATCAACATGGGCAGAGTTCACATTGCATCTCTGCCGGGGCAGCGTGGGCTCCCCTGAGGCTGGGGGGGGGTCTTCTCCCTGCAGCTCCAGCCTCAGGGAGCTCAGATATCAAGTGACACCAGAAGGTGAGCTCTTCATTTCTCTGCTGGGACTCCATGTTACTAGGGCATGTTCTAGAAACCTTCCTTCCTCAGGGCTGGGAGCCTATTGCCAGAGACAGCCAAGCACAGGGGTCTCAGCAAGACCCTTCCCAGGCTTAGCCGCAGCTGGCCTCCAGAGTAAGGTCCAGTGCAACATGCCCTCATCCTTCTCTGCACGCTGGCAGGTCCAGCTCACCAGGGGGCTGGCACGACCAGGGGCTGGCCACCAGCAGGTTGGCGGCTGGACCCAGGCTCTGGGAAGAACTGGGGTTATCTTGGGGCTGCTTTGAAATCCTATACTACCCTTCACACAGGTAAAGAAGCAGAGGTCCAGAGCAGGTGGATGGTAGCCAGGACACACAGTATGAGGACAGCGCACTGACCCCTTGGGCACTGCGGCTCTGGGCATGCTGAGTCCTCACC